CTGGTGACCCAGAAGACCAACACCATGCTTGAAGGTCGAAACATAGCTGACGCAATGACAGTCTGCCAATCCATCTCAAGGACTGTCTCTTATACACATCTGTGACAATTGCACTGAGCGTCCAAGAAGAGTCCATAGAAAGCACAACCAACCAACGACAACGCAATACCAAATCAACTTCGCTGTTTCAAAGGAACAATTAGATGCCGTCCTTCGTAAAAATCACAAAGGAGCACTGGAATCGTTGAAATCAACGGAAAAAAATCAAATTGACAAATCAGGAAATAAGAAAAATATATTATAACAAATTGTCTGTTTGGATCCAAATTTGGATCACAAGGATCCTCCTCCAGTTTATTGAACACGACCCCTGCTCTCTCTCTCTCTCTCTCTCTCTCTCTCTCTCTCTCTCTCTCTCTCTCTCTCTCTCTCCCCCCTCCTTCGCCCCCACACCCCACGCGCTTGTAGTCAAACCTGGTCATCGTAGTCGTCAATCGATTGGCCCACGACCAAACTAAGGAACATGAACGCACTCACAAACATGCACACACCTGTTCTGTTTCCCGCTGTGCTCCGCCATAGCCGTCTGCTAAACAAATACTCCTCAAATGATCGCGATCTAGACTGCAGCCTTCCAACCCGGAAGCCTACACTCCCGCCTCGTCAAATGAGAGAATAACTCCCCCTCACATCTGCAGCAGCCACCTGATCAAAACCTCACTTTCGACTGAGCGGACGACTCTTGATTTCAACCCCAGTCCAAATTTTAACGAAGTCAAAATCAAAAAGCAATATGGATTAGTCAGCGCGGGCTCCAGAAATTCAGCACGCAGTACTTGTCAACTCGTTCCACCAATACTCCAATCCGTATACGAGGTCAACCGACAATCCAACTCCGACTCAGTGCCTACCAAATGGTTCGCCGACTGGTCTCGCCGACTGGTCCAGCGACTAGCCCGGCGAATGGTCCAGCGAATGGGTCCGAGAGGAACGAAAGAATAGAAAGCGAAAGGAAGAACGATGAAGATGAAGCTTTCCTTGGGGAGGTTTTTGCTTAGCGGGGATAACAACTCCTCGCATAACCGCAACGCCGCATCTTCTTGAAACTACGCCCGCCCGTTCAACCCGTTCCACGGCTAACGCCATGTCTTTTCCATTTTTGACATTTTTGACACCGTGTACACATTCCCGGCTCGTGTACAGCTTCCCGCGTCTTCGCTGTTGACTGGCAGCAACAGACATATCTCCGATGTTCAAAACGGCAACAAGGAGCTGGGAAGCGTGCAAAAAGGGAGCAGAGGGCCGCTATACTGTGTTCAGGGAGCTGTTTATCCTGTATACAACTAGTCGAGGCACGGGGCACAATGAAGAACTGACATAGCAGGCAATGACGATGTATGTATCTGCAATGACAAGGTTGGGCGGAAGGAAGACAGAAAGAGAAGAAAAGGGAAGAAGAAAACGAAGAAGAAGAAGAAGAAGAAGAAGAAGAAAGGAGAGGAGAGGAGGAGAGAGACGGAGCGACAGGGGCAAAAAAATGAATGGAATTTCTAACTCTCTCTCTCTCTGTGTGTGTGTGTGTGTGTGTGTGTTTGTACGTTCCCCTCCCCCCCTCGCTCTCTCTCTCTCACAGACAAAGAGAAAATGATATGTCCTGTCCCTCTCCCACAATGCGTATGGAAGGGTCAAGAGGAGGAGAGGCGGAGGGGACTTGTCGAAAAAATAGCACAAGAACCAGCGATAGGATAAAGATGATGTTGTCCTTTTCCTTGCTCCTTATCCACGAAGTAAGTAAAAAACAGATCATCAGAAAAGGTGGGGCAGGGGGATGGGCAAGGGGGACGGAGGACAAGTACGCGTCTTTTGTTGAAAACCTAATTACCGTAGTCATCTCTCTCTCTCACCCACGAACTGCAACCGCGCAAGAAGCGGCACACGACCACCCTCCCTTTCGCACGTTCCACTCTTTCTTCCTTTATTTTTGTCTACGTTTCTGCTTTTGCCATTCACCAGTATTTCAATGTCTTTCTACATTTGTAGTATATATATATATATAGCCCCTCGTTTGTTGTCCTCTTCTCTCTCTCTGCCTACGGTTTACCGGGCAGTTCTATTTGTGACGATATATAAGATAGGCATACGCATGGGATATGTCATTTCAATCTTCTTCTTCTTCAGGTGTTACACCTACGTGGTTTGGTTTCAATCTCATTTCCAGAAGAAACGATTATAAAAATTCAAAAAAAAATGAAAAAAAGCACAACTAAACAAATGGGGGAATATAGATACGACACCTGCGACAGAAACCCGCCGTGTCCTACTTTCTTCTTTGCTTCATTCTGACGGAGTTCGCCTTCCGTCCACCTGGATGGGACCACGTCATCTTCCCCCCAAATCCTTCCTCCTGCCTTCGCCCGATTCTCTACCTACTACTCCCCCCCCCCCCCCCCCCCGCGGCCCCTCCCCCACCCCCGCGTAACCTACGCTGGACGTCTTACAGAAAACCCTAATTTTCTCCTCCACGGTCTCATCATCTCCCTTGCCCTACTCCCTCCTCCTCCCTCCCCTCGATTCTCTAGCTCCTTCAAAACCCTGTGCACATACTTCTTCTTGTTGTTCAGTCCGGCCAAATGCACCATGAAGTCCCCTTGTGCAAACACCCCGTTCCACACCGCGTCCCTCTGTGTGATCAGTCGAACAACTGACCTCAGAGAAGAGGGCCAAAGATAGGAATTGAAAGAACACTGCATGCGCGGGATGAGTACATGGCGCCGTCTTTCGTCGGGATCCATGGTCGCAATGAGGTACTTGAGCGCATCGTTGTCCCCACTTTTGCACAGACCAAACGGCTGGATGAACTGGACCTGCTCCCACCAGGTACTTAGGAATCGCGCGCTCCAGGATGAGTTACGCACGAAGAACATGCCAGCATTGACCCCATTGTAATCTTCGGTCACGATGAAATCCGGGAACTCATCATACCCGTCCTCTTCCCACCCCTCCTCCACGGAAGAACGAGGTTGAGGAAGGGAAACAGGAGAGGGAGCAGAAAGCGTAGCGTTGCCGAGGCTGGAGCGAGCGCATGATGATGACGTGTCCCACGAGGAGGGGGAAGGGGAGGAGGCAGCGGAGGAGAAAAGCGACGATGAGGAGGAGGAGAAGGGGATAACAGAATCAATCACCTGTTGCAGCGTAATGTCGGGATTCGTGACCACGGAATCGGCGTCGGTCCAAAAGACCCAATCATAGTGTCCAAGATGTTTCTGCACTGCGAGGATTTTGCTCCAGCTTGGCGGCCGTCTTCGATCCAAGATATCGCTCGCATCGATGTAATCATACCCGTGTCTCCTCACATACCGCTCCTTGTTGGGGGCAATCATCTCGGCCAAGCCTTCAAAGGAACGTTCGGGGATGGTGCTGGACCCATCAGAGCAGGTCACCATGGCAAACCGCTGGTCTCGCCATCGTCCTTCCTGCACTCCGCCGACTCCGCCGACTCCGCCCGCTCCGCCAACTTGACGCTGTTGCGCGTCAGCCTCTGCCCCGTCCATCGCTGTTATCGACCCTCTTCCGAAGCTGTTGCCGACAGGCGCAGCCGAAGAATCTGGGCCGTCAATATCACGGCTAAAATGACATCGGCGGCCCACAGCGTTCGCGCGACTCAAGAAAAAACCAGGCGCGTGAACCACGGACCAGTGCACAACGAGGAGAATCACCACCGCTACCAAACCCTTAATCATCCCTCTGGAGAACATTTGCCACAGAGAGGAGGAGGAGGAGGACTGGGCCGTGAGAAATGTACCACTGGCAGATGTTGCAATCCTTAATACGCTGCTGCACCCTACTAACAACGACATCCGGCGGCGGTCTCCACCTCCGCCGGCTTCTCCTAGACCGTCCTCCCGGCCCCCGCTGTCATTTACCACACTCTTCCTTGTCCCCGCGCAGTGGCGAAGACCCATGCGAGGCAAGTCTCCGAGGCCGACGTCCTTGCCTTCCAGGTGATGATCGTGCGGAAGAGGGACTCCACACCCAAGGATCTCATCCATTGACGAAGGACGGGGCGTCTAAAACTTACGGTCCTAAGACAGGCACTTCACACTTGATTCGGGTACCACGCTCTTTCCCTTTGCCCTCTTCCTCTACACTAGCCCCACCAGCCCCCAGTCACTTCGTCGAACCACGCTGATCACCCCAGAAGGCTCCCTCAATCTGACGAAGCACGGGGCGTCCCCTCTCTCTCTCTCTCTCTCTCTCTCTCTCTCTCTCTCTCTCTCTCTCTCTCTCTCTCTCTCTCTCTCCCCCTATACACTAGACCCACCAGCCCCCAGTCACTTCGTCGAACCACGCTGACCGCCCCAGCTAGCTCCCTAAATCAGAACCCCCCACAATCCCTCTCTCTCTCTCTCTCTCTCTCTCGCTAGTTCTGTGCTGCAGCGTTTCTTGGGGCGTCCTCCCCCATGCACCTTCTTCGGTCTTTCGCCAGCCTTTTCTCTCCTGCGGGTGCTGAAAACGGGGTATGCACTACCTACCTTTTAGCAGAGGGAACCACATCCCTCGGAAAGAAGTCAAACTGCTGTCATCCCCCGACAGTCAAAATTTTCTGGCCCTTAGGGGGAGGGGAGGGGTCCCACACGGCGCGCCACAGAACGCCGCGTGTGTCAGTAGTCATGTATGAAATGAATCAAATCCAAATCCAATGCAATGTAAGTCGAAAAAGAAAAGGCAATATAATCTTTCGTCCGAGCTAACGTAATATAATCGAGAATCGAAGGGGTTTAGCAAAGAGAACAATGGATACCGAAGGTCGACTCAATGACAGAAGAAAAAATTGAATCTTTTTATAATAAAACCGTTTTAAAAAAGAGATCCCTGATCTCGGTAAGCCAGAAAACAGGAAAAAAAACAAAGGAAAAGAGTAAATTTAAAGGAATTAAGAAAACAAAAAGGCGCACTGCGGAACGGAAAAAGAAGAGACGACGAAAACCAGAACCAAACGAGAAGGAAAGGAAACGAACAACGGGGGAGGAGAGAGACAGAACATGACGAGGTACCGAAAATTGGTGGCTGAACCGACGCGTCGATGAGGAATCGAACGATCGACGTGATGATGCCGACCACCGGTTTGCGCTGCTCGGCTGGATAGCGGTTGCTAATTAGTAGATGTCCAATCATGAATTATTAATTGATCATCTACTGAATCAAGCGTTTGCCTGTGCAGTCATCCGACTTGGCATTATATTTGATTGACTACGGAACGCGCGCATCATACATGACGCAACCATAACAATACGAGGACAGCACAATCGATTAGTCAAGTCGTACTACTCATAATCCTGTCATCGGTCTCTCTTTTGCACCGCTTTCAGCTAAAATAACTTATCTACCAATTAATTGACAATAACAATGCATCGAAGAAAATTCCACCGAATGAGAAAAAATCAATTAATTAATTGATCGTGTAATCGACAGCGGCCTCCTGCCATCGGGGTCTCTTTTTCCTAACCAATCAACTCAATAAATTGTAAATTGATAATTAATCGAACGAGTTCGACCAATGAATCAACTTAGTACTTCGCCAGGTTTAATCAGCACCAGGGCAGCGGAAGGGCTAATTAATCGACCAAGCAAAAGTTTAATCAGCACCAGAGCAGCGCATGGGTGTCAACGATTGATTGAACCCAATACTGTATGTACTCACTCAGTCCTAAAACAAACAAAGAGATGATAAATCAATTGACGAACAGGATCAGAGATTGAACAGGAGAAGAAAACAAATCAACCCGACCCCACGGCTTCAAGAAAGATTTTCTGAATCAGTCAGTGACATAGCAGATCGTAAAAAAAATAAAAAAATAAAAAAAAAGACAGCAGATCGTAAAAGCCGCAAATCCGTTCGTCCTTGTAAGCAGTCTGACAAGGAGGAGGCGAGGAGAGAGGAATATACTACATTCGATTCCTCCAATGAAAGAGAAGAATGACGGAAACGACGAGATTTCCTCCTCGTCGGAGCAACTACGTGCGTGAGCGAGAAAGCCGCCGAAGGAAGAGGAAGAGAAAAAACGACGACCGTTCGTTCGTGGGACGAAGGAAAGGGTACGGAGAACAGAACGAGAGAGAGAGAGAGAAGAGAAGACTGCTTAGGATAGATGAAAGTGGAAAAGGAGAGGAGAGTGCAGAAAGCCTGTTGCTGAAAGGGCTTTCCTCAGGGGAGATGAGAATCTTACAGAAAGAACACATCACGACACCAATAGCAACAACATATCGGATGGCATTTGCGTTCAATGTCCGTCCGATCGTCCGACTATAATGATGGCCTGAGAACCATGTTCAAGAACCGACGAGAAGGAAAACGAAGAAGAGGAGGGGGCACTTCTTCCGACGGCTCGGGGACGGTCATCACCAGAGGCAGCCATGGAGTCGACAAGGAACGAATGCCGAACAGAGAAGACAAGGATGGAACTCTCTCCTTCCACACCGCCCCCCGGCCTCCTTCCTATCGCCGACACCTCGCACGCATATGCTGGGGGTTGAATGATATCCCTTCACCGCCTGGCCATCGGCGTAGGAAGGAGAGGAGGAAGGAGAGGGTAGATGAAGGGCGTAGGGGGGAGGTAACCAACTTGAGAAGCAGATGGGTGGATTAAAGGGAGAAAGTCTAGAGTGAAAGCGGACTCTTTTCCCCCGAAGCTCGTCTGCGCCTCCTCCCGAAGCGGCTGAACGCGACGATGATATGCCAGGGTCAACCAACGGGTGCAGAAGCAGCAACGAGGAGGCGAAACTTCCAAGTACCGGAATCGCTGGTGCTAATTTAAAACAAGAACAAACGAGATGGCAAATGAGATGGCAAACGAGATGGCAAATGAGATGGCAAATGAGATGGCAAATGCCGGTAGCCTTGGAACGAAGGTAAAGAAGAAGAGTAGTAAAGAAAAAGAAGAGACTCGAAAAGACCAACGAGGGAGTCTAGGAGCACGGCGACGAATGAGAGTCGAGGGGGTGGGGGGAGAGAGAGAGAGAGAGAGAGAGAGAGAGAGAGAGAGAATGCAGCCGAGGGCATAGAGTGGGAGAAGGAAAGGGGAAGAGGGGAAGAAGAGGGAAGAAGGGATAACGGTCAAGGAAATGAAGTTTGTGCGCGAGGATAACCAATATAATTATGGACCGTGAGGTAGTTCGTGAGCAGGTTACTCACTCGGACGAATATGGTTGATGATAGATTGAATTCATCGCTGATGATACACTGAATTCATTGCCTTCACTAACTTCATCGAGTCCGGTGATTGATCGACTATATCGCTCGCCCGTACCCATGCCGTTCACATTATGGCTGCTCCGCTCGCCGGCGTTGATTATCTATTTACTGTAAATTAGTTCCGCGGCGTTGATAATCTCGACCGTTCCTTGCGGACCGCGCCCGGCCCTCCTTGCATACAGTTCTCCTGCGCGGAAGGAAAAGAAGAGAGAGAGGGAGAGTAACGAGGAGAGAAGGAAGACAGCACAGAGAGAAAGTGGGGAGAGGAGAAGGGGGGAGTAGAGTAGGGAGTACAGGAGGGAGTAGAGGAGGGAGTAGAAGCTAGCGACCGCGAGAGCTCACGTGTGTGGAGGAGGGCCCACTACAGCCCCATCAAAGCCCACGTGTAATAGACACGTCAGCAGTACTTTCGATTAGGCACCGTCAAATTGCATGAACCGAAGAACGTTTTCCTCTTTGAGCGAGATGCGCTCCCACATTTTGTCATTCAAAATACCACCATGCCATTCCCCACATCGCTCGTTGTCTTCCCGCAATTGCACGCGCAGCAGGGTCCGGTGAAGCTCGCCTCTCTGCAGATCCGCAGCGCCAATTTCCGCAATACTTAACTTCATCCTGCATCTTTCTTTCTCCACCAATCCACCAATCAAGTGATTGATATGACTGATCGATAGGTTGATTGGTCAATGAACAGATTCTTGGACAAGCTTGTGACTCCGACCGACGCTGGTACGGCCAGGAATGCTGGCCCCTGCCACCTCCTTTCTGTTCCCCTCGGGATCTCCGATCTCACCCATCCACAAAACACCAAGGCGGATCTGCTCTAATTGACAGCCAATGTTATCAGGGAATAAATGAGACACAGATTCCTTCTCTTCTGCATCTGCTCTTGGTCGCTCGTCCTTGTGACACGTGTCCTCGCCACAGCTGTGGGCAGAGCGTTCCTGATGAATACACTCGACAGGCAGCATCCATGTCCCTCCCTTACGTGGGCTTCCACGCGGCACCAATGTTCTGCCCATACGTGGACGTCCAAGGGATATGGTTAGCTGATTGGGAAGAACTCTCGAGGAGCTGCCTCCCAATCTCACCTGCGTCTTCAGTGTTGTGACTCTTTGTCAGCCATACAGCCCATCTTCGAAGAGTGAAGAAAAGGGCGCTCTTTGTTCCGCGCGGCGCTCATTGGCCACGCGAGTAAGGCGGTCCTTCCGACCGGCGAGGAGTTCAATTCCCGCCAAAACGTTGGGGTCACTATCATAGTGAGGAAGGACAGGTAGGAAAACGAAAAAAGAACATGGCTGCGAAACAGTGCTCTTCCCGCCACCAAGAAGAGCGGACATCTTTCCCGCCGGTGCGATCGAAAAGATCCTCTCGCCGTGACAGATGTCTGCCACAGGCATCGCGAATGCTGCCTGCTCCGCATTCCCCGAGTTTTGCCGCTTCCCACCAGCAAATGCCAGCGAATTTTGCTGAGGGCGGGCTCTACTGCTCTGGGGTGATGCTAGCAAAGCACGAGCCTGGCCTCAAAGGCGACCCTATTAGGGCTCTGTTGATCTAGGAAAGCATTATTTCTAGAGATGAACAAAATAGCACCTGCCCCTCACCCCCAACGATGTTGGCTACTGCCCCAACGGGCCTACCCCCTCAGTTGGTACACCCACATACTGTCTAAATAAAGGCCCACCTTCGAATCCAGATCTTCTTTTTTTTTTTTTTTTTTTTGAACAAATGATCCAATCTATTCGTGGGAAGCAGCACGTGCTGGAAACCGCGGGTCCAGCATCCCCTAAGGACATTTACAGCTTCGACAGGGATCTTTTTTGAGAAAAGTTGAGAAGACCTCCCCCTGCCAGCATTGATTACACTGGAACAGGGAACACCCTTTGATGGTAATGAAAATGAAAAGAACTATGCAAAAGCCAAGGAGTTAACTCCGGGCTAACCAAGATAGGTCAAATTTGGAAAAACATGGAACCCCTGAAACAGACAGCCAGAACAGTCCTGCCTCCGTCGTCAAAAGGAAGAATCTCAAGCTGATCCAGGTGGAGTTAGTGGCCAGTGGCCGGTACCCGCCGAGATACTCTGCGCCCATCGCATCCACCCCAACTTCCTCCATCCAAATCCCATCCGTCCTCCCAAACTCCATCCTCGTGAAGAACTCAAGAGGACCTCATCTCGGCAAGGGGCGAGCACCATCATCACCCTGAAATTCCTTGCCCCCACAAGAATTCCGGAATAGGGCTGCTTGACGGGTACCGGCTAGGGGGAACACTTATCAGATGCGATTGGCGTTGGGTAGTTTAGGCTGTCTAATGGGTAGCGGATGATGAGGGTGAACTTTGGCGCAATTGGCATTCGGTAGCGTTGGTCCACCGCCTTGAGGACGGAGACCATCCCCCTCTCCGTCCTTGCGAAGAATCATTTCATGCCCCCTGCCCCCTACTTCAAAACAAATCCCCCAAAACTTTGTAACATGCTCCGCTTGGCCATCCCTTGGGGCCCCTGTTCAAAACTCTGACCAACCTCTTGGAAAAACCAAAAAAATCCTAAAGGAGTAGAGGAGGAAATCTTCAAAGTTACCTTCCCGCTCTCTCCACAACACAGAGGGGAAAGGAGAAGACAACACAACGCCTCTGGGATACATACCAACGAGATCCAGGTCGGCTCTGACAGAAAGAACTCGCGGCAGTACTGTTACTTATTGTGACATGTATGCGCAGAGGACAGAGATACTGGGACGCGGACGGGCTGGTAAGACTTATGCGAATCGCAAAGTGGAGTTAGCCGCTATTATTTTTTTTGCAGATTAAGGAATCTGTACGGGAAAAATGGTAGCAGGAATGATTTTTTCTAGAAGCCTCTAGAATAACGATACTACTGTTGGAGAGATGAGTCGAAAAAGCATACGGCAAGAGTAACTCTGAGGAAATAAAGTTTGAAGAAAGGGAGGAAACGAGAAGAGTGAGAGAAGATAAATGCAAGGACGAGCGTTCAACGCCTCACTACCTGAGTAGTATTGGGCAGAAGGGTGGTGTGCACGAGGTGTTATGCGTGGTTGCGAAAAATCATGTACTTCGATATTAAAGCCCAGTGATTTTTTGCGTTATTCTGTGTTATCATTCACAACTAACCAGAGGATCGACCTTGCACTGGAGCCTGGGAACGATAAACTTGCGTCGTGGGTCACTGGCTCACGTGCTTTCTGTTTGAATTTTTTTACCGTGCGTGTATTTTCTCACTTTTCTCCATTTCTTACTTCTTTCTCGTTCCTCCATCTGATTTCACGATAGCATCAATGCTCTCCGCGTTCTTCCATGCATGGTGGCGATGCGCCTTGGGTTCGAAGTTCTGCTAAGCGTAGCCTGCACTCTTTGGAAAAAGTTTGTGGTGAAGATCTCTGTCAGGATTAAGTTCAACATCGTCCGACGCAGTTCATGAACGGAAGGGGAAGAGGCAGAGACAAACGTAGAGGAAGGTGGTCGGGGTGTGGGCGATACTGGATGGAGCAACCTAATGGGTAAGCTCCGACCTATCCGCAGAGCCCCCCACAAGCTCCACCACCTCCACCGCCTTCCTTTCAGTACGCTGATTACTATCAGCCGCATTATTGGGGGCAACAGCAGGTAGAATGGCAACCAGCACATGGCGCCCCTGCGACGCAACAGCCGCAATTCGGCAACAATGGTGGGTTTGCTAACGGGAACGGCTTTGGGCGAGGCTACAATCCAAATCGTGCGTTCTTCACGAGGGAGTACGCTGACTTACTGGACAAGATCAAGTTTAAGGAAGTCGTTGAAGAAACATCGAAGAAACAACAATTAGGGATAACAGAGGTGACAGGGCCTCCTAGGAAAGTCAAAGTAAAGAAGGTAGAAGGGGCGAAGAAGGGAAAACAGGCGGTGGATGAGAAAGAGGAAGCAATGAATGACCTCCACATTCGGAAGCTCTCTCAATATCCTATCAGAGAAGATAGACTCAGTGGACCGGAAGTCGAAGATAAAAGAAACGGAGCGAAGGAACTGAAGAGGCTACGAGCAGAGCAGGAACTAAGGGAGATGAAGGAGAACGCCAACATGGAAAAAAGAAAGAGAGGAGGAACTAAACCAGGCACATCTGCAAGATCTGAGAAGGTGCCCGTGAAGTTGGCTGTCAAGATCAAGAGTCCCCAACCAAGGAGGATCTTCGTGGTCTCCGATGATGAAGGGGGTGGCACGGCAACCACCCCCTCGGTCTCCTATGCCACACAGAGTAACCTGAAAGTGAGATTCGATCAGGAGGAGGAGAAGAAGGACAACGGGATGGAGGAGCTTAAGGTGCTACTAAAGGAACTAATTATTGTGGTATCGACGAAGGAGACTGTGAAGGACGAACAGGAAAAGGAAAACTGGAGGAGGTTGAGTCCACACTCAATGAAGGCAACACCGGGGCTGGAGAAGATTCCGAAGAAGAACGTGATGAGCTTGGACTCGCTGCTTACATGAAGAATCGGGTGGAGAACTATGAGTCCATGCATTATACGCACGTTCAAACGATGTGCACGGAAAGGGGTATCTCGTATATTAAAAAATAATTGGGTATCATGGAACTAGCCAGACTTGATTTAAAGGAGTACATGCGGTCTCTCAAGGATATGTAAGGCAATGGTGTTACGATCTCAGAACCATCTGAGCAGGAGGAAGTCGAGCAGGAGGGGCAAGCCGATGTACGAGAAAACTAACTAACTGGTCAAAGCGGGCAATGCTCCGTTTATTTGCCAGTGCGAGAACGGGAAGACTAAAAGAGGAAGGGGTCGTAGACGAGGGATTTTGTAATCGTATACAGTTTTGTATCGTCCTGTACGGGAGCTTGATGGGGTTCTGGAGATGGGGCAAAGCGTATCTTAGATATTGGAAGAACTTTGACTCCGATGATTGAGAATTTGCTATTAACGGATAGTCCTCATCTTGTGTCTATATCATTAACCCATTTTCTTTGGGTTTTTGAAGCTATATCATTTTTTCTCCCTTTTGTAAGCTAGTGTATGTTGATATGATAAAAAGGGACACAGGTAGGCATGCCGCACTAACGAGAAACAAAAGGTACACAGCTGGCTGAGAAAGTTTGGGATGGAGAAATACTGCGTATGTCCTATCTGGTTTAATAGCACAGAGGCAATAGCCAGAATAGAAAAAGAAGTGATCAAGAGTAACAACCCGAGTTAAACAGAAAATTGTGTCGTAAGACGGGTTTGAAGAAAAGGACCAGGAAAACAAAGCGAACAAAGGTGCGGATTCCTAGGCTTTGTTGCAGTTTATTTTGTTCAGTTGTGATATCACGCAAACCATGGAAGAACCGGATCTACTTAAATTGATTAGATCACTACAAAAGATCCGGCCAACTTGAAAGACTCTATGATTAGAAATAACTTTGACACAAGATGGCTGAAAGCATGGAACTTGGTAAAACTAATATACGGGCATAACCTTATTATCAAAGATGGGAGGAAAATGCTTCTGAGGGATGCGAAGTTTCACATAGAAGAAGGCGGTGACTGAATCCTGTATAATATTGTAAAAAAAAGACGAAAGGAAGAGCGGAGGGCATTAAGGCCGAAGTGATTGGGCTGCTGCGGACACCTTGGAAGAGGAAAGAGCTCCTGAAAAATCATTGGACGAAATGTTTGAGATGGAGAGGGTAATTAAAACGTTGTCGGAGAGGAGGGGCAGACAGAGGGCTCTACGACTTGAGGGTTGGATAAAAGCAAGGATTTCCATACCTGACTGGAGGGTTGGATAAAAGCAAGGATTTCCATACCTGACTGGAGGGTTGGATAAAAACAAGGATTAAACATGTTGGGTTCTACGACTTGATGGTGCAAAAAATGAGGCTGGTGTGGGAGAAGGCTCCACTATAGCCGACATTCTGCACAACCAGAAGCAGTTTGTTAGTGCAAAAAAACAACTTTGTACATGCAACAACTTTGAACTGCCCAAAGTTCATGGGCACGTCCAAATCAGGTTGAGCGCCATCATGAACATTCTGAGCTTTGTCCATAACAGCAAGAATTAACCAGTACGAGGTGGGATATCCCGCATGAAGGAGGTAAACTTTGCCTGTAACAGGGCAATTTACCCTATGAAGGCTAGTGGAGTCATCGACAAGCGGGAAAAAATCCGGTTTCGCATGCATCAAGTACAGTGACACAAATGCAAGGAACAAGGGGAGGCTGTACTCACGGAGTTCGTCTACGGACTGAAAGTCGGTCTCCAAGGATTGAATTTTTCACACATCGGACATGAACGGGAGGGAAACTCTGGTAGAATATCCTCATAGCTATGGGGCGGGACTTCAAAAAATGTTCAATGAGAATGATAACTATGAAAAGGCCGAAACATGTGAACCTGAAGCCAATGAAATTATGAAAACCAGTTACCTGGCCAAAGGGCTGGAAAGAGTGGCCAAATGGGACACTAAGGGTCGATTGCAAGAGGCATGTGTACTAGCTAAGGATAAGGACTTGGGAAAACGTAGGCCTATTGTTCCTTCGTTCCTAAACCCAGCAAGAAGAGTCCTGGGTGTACTGGGTCGGACGCTCAGTTTCTTATTGAAAAATACCAAAAGAGAGCATTTTAACATGAGAAGCACCGGGGACCTGAAAAGCGGGGTAGAGCAGATAATCAGGGCGACGGATAAACTCGCAGGGATTGACAACCGAATTCTGATGCGAACCTACGATGTTAAAGAAATGTTCACCAGACTCCAAAGTCAGGAGGGTTGTAGAATGGCTATTCGAGACCTTTGAACAAAAAATGATCAAATGGGTGAGGCTGAAGGTCAGGGGCAAAAAAACGACGTTTGGGAAATCCCACGGGGAAGACGGGTGAAAATCCTATAGGTTGAAGATAATGAGGGATCTAGTTGATTTCCAGTTGGGGAATATGTTTTTTCTTGCGAATGGTGAGGTACTAAAGCAAGTAAATGGAATCTCAATGGGAGGTAAGGCAAGCCCGATCCTGGCCTATGTAATGTGTGCATACGTAGAAAAAATATTCTTAGGCACACTGGGGTGGACGTACAATTTCTAAGTGGGAAACGATACATGGATGATCTGTTTCTGGCAGCATGGTATGACGGGAGGAAGGAAGGGGAGAAGGAGAAAGTCGAAGAAAGGTTCGATGACATCTTGCACTACTATCCTAGTGATTTCGTACCTGAGCGAACGGATGGAGACAAAGTGGTAGCCTCTTTCTTAGAAACCAATACCTCACACACTGGTTTAAAAATATTGATAGTATCTGGGAAGGTGGGGCTAGGAGATTCAAATCTCTAAAGGACTTTGCCTCCTTTGGGGATAAAGCCCCAAAATGGCCAGTGATAACTAGGACGATCTGGCGGATCTGGCACAACAAAAACTCTGTGGTTACCACCTGGTTCAGCCTGGTTACATTCTGCAAAGATATTCGAAGTTTGGGATACCCGAGAGAGGCATTTTTTGCAAGGATTAGAAAGGTCAGCTCCCGAAAAAGTGGCTACTGGAAAGCTCTAGAGGCTCAGCTCGTGAGTTGGTACCAGAACGCGTGACCCGACAGGCACTGACACTACCAAGAGGGATCCGGAAACATGTAACCACAAAAGCGAAGGTTAACAACAGTCGTATTTTTCATCACCACTTCATGACACCCTTCACCACTTCAGGATGCAGCCTGTCTAAACATGTGGTTTTCAGAGTCTTCGGACCTTTCACCACTTCATGACAATTCAGGTATGAAAATCCTGAATGATCCTGAAGTGGTGAAAGCTCCGAAGACCCTGAAAACCACCTCTTTAGGCAGGCCGCATCCTCAAGTGGTGAGGTGTGGTTTTCATGGTTTTCGGACCTTTCACCGCTTCAGGACCATTCATGATTTTCAGACTGACAAAAACTCTCACTTGACCACTTCAGGACACCCTTCACCACTTCAGGATGCATCCTGCCTAAACAAGTGGTTTTCAGGGTCTTCGGACCTTTCACCACTTCAAGACCATTCAGGATTTTCAGACTGCCAAAAACTCTCACTACAGAAGACTTAGTTTCATTCCTGAATTTTCAGCGACCCAATAACCGCTTGTGAACCACAACAAAGGACCGGGATACATACCAACGAGATCCGGGTCGGCTCTGACAGAAAGAACTCTCGGCAGTATGGTTACTTGCTGTGACATGTATACGCAAAGGACATAGATACTGGGACGCAAACGGACTGATAAGCTTTACGCGAATCGCAAAGTGGAGTTAGCCGCTATTATTTTTTTTGCAGATAAAGGAATCTGTACGGGGAGTGTAGGAGTATTTTTTTATAGAAGCATGTAGAATGACGATACTACCGTTTGAGAGATGAGTCAAAAAGCATACGGCAAGAGTAACTCTGAGGAAGTAAAGTTTGAAGAAAGGAGGGAAGTGAGAAGAGTGAGAGAAGATAAAAGCAAGGACGAGTGCTCAGCGCCTCACTACCTGAGTAGTATTGGGCAGAAGGGTGGTGTGCACGAGGTGTTATGCGTGGTTGCGAAAAATCATGTACTTCGATATTAAAGCCCAATGATTTTTTGCATTATTCTGCGTTATCATTCAGAAGACAACACCTCTCCGCTATGAAGAGAAATAATATTGCCCTCATTCTTACCAAACCCCCCTCCTTCCTGTCCTTGAGCTACCTTCGTCGAGAGGAGTTCTCTTCTCCTCAATGACCCTAGCTTAGGACAAGCCCCCTAACAGACCACCACCCCTAAAAAACAAGCAGTTCCCACCAAAAGCTTGTCCCCGCAGAACGACGGTCCCCCAACCCCCATCCCAACCCTCTTCATGTTGGAACAACCCCCGAGGACAACCCTAAAATCACCTAATCCCTCCACTCTTTCTCTCCACGACACAAAGAGGAAAAAAGAGGACGTCACCTCTCCATCGTGACGAAAAACATATTTGCCCTCACTCTGATTAGAAAACCTCTCCCTCCTGTCCTTGAGCTGCCCCGGCAAAAGGCGACCCCTTCCCCTTATTAACCCCAGCTCAGGACAAGCCCCCTAGCGAACCACCATTCCCTCAAGAACAAGCAGTTCCCACCAAAAGCCAGTCCCCGCAGAACGGTGGTTCCCCCGCCCTCCATCCCAATCCTCTCTGTGTGGAATAGCCCCCTGAGGACAATCCTGAAAAACCTTTTTTCCATCACCAAACGAAAATTAAAACTGGAATGAAATCAAATAATTCTAAATAAGTTGGGGTCGGTCTGACTACTGCATGTCGGCTTGGTGTTTGTCTCGTTTTTGTCGTGTTCATGGGACCATAACAGGAGAGAGACATGCAAGTAACATGACAATGGACCTCGTTCCACACTTCACTTTTTTTTTTTTTTAAGGAATAATTTGCAAAATACCCCTCTAAGTTGAGATATATGCCAAAATGCCCCTAAAAGATTCGGGTAGAGTGAAATGTCTTTTTGGCCCTAATTCTTTGCGTTTTGGCTATGTCAGGCCGTGTGAAAATTTAAAATATGGACCTCATCGTCAGGACCTGGGCTAGCACCC